TATGTTTTTTATTTACTTGGTTCCAGTACGTGCTTGGCCGAAGTGCGAGTGGCTCAACGGGTTCGATGGATTGACATTGGCCCCCATGTACGATTGGCGTATATTGGTCTCGGAACCGTAGCGGCGCGAAAGGTCCTCGTCGAATTGGGCGGGATAGACCTGATCTTCGTAGCGAATGCGTCGCCAGCCCCAGCTCTTGGCGTGCAAGTCGTCGTAGTCTAAAGAACGCGACTGACCTTCGTGGAACATTTTTCGGCGATCAAGAGAGGTGCGACCTGTCGGTATACCGATTTTCGGTTTCTTGAGAATGGAAGGCGGCTGGGCACGACCCTCAGCAATGGGGACGGCCGACACCAGGGCATCCTCGCTAAGTTGGCGCGACAAACGCAACACGGACTGCGTGGGCAGTTGAGGGGGAGGGGCCAGGGAGGATTTGGCCTTTTTGTGCGCTGTTGGGGTCGGGGTATGGACATGGTAGGTGGGCACGGCGCCCAGGTCTAACTGTGGCGCCGTCAATCCACTAACGAAATGCTGATCCACACATTCACCGCACATTGCCGGATCGGTGGTGGGCAGTGAAGGCTCCGAGGATGACGGTTGAAACATCGAAAGCGATGGCCTGCGCAACAGCTGCTCAGCCGTATAAGGATAGGTGATGGGATTATGCTGGGGATGGGGGTGGGCATCGATCAGACAATAGGGATCGGGACAGGCCCCAATGGTGAGGCCCGACGAGGCCAGGGCCGCATTCGTCGACAGCACCACCGGCTGGCTGCCGTTCTGGCAGTGACTGCAGGTGTTGTCATAATGATCGCGTATATAGCCGACATAGGAGGAGGGCGACGAAGAGACGGTGTGGGCATGAACATGGGCTGCGGCCGAATCAGCTGTTAGGCCATAGCGAGCCGGTTGTTGGCGAAAAAAGTTGACAACGGGCGATGTCAGACGCTTAAGACCACGCAATGTAGTCGCGCTACCGCCACTGCCGGCAGCCGCCTCCGCTTATACAACAGTCGGGTGCAAACCCAGATGGAAGGGAAATGCGTGAAATTGGCAGCATGCGCTTGATACAACAGTCGGGTGATAAATGTGTTGAGTTGTGTCTTTCGGGAAATTGTAAGGGAAATGCGTGAAATTGGCTTGTGTTGGTGGAGGAGGTGGGTACGGATTAAATGTGTTGAGTTGTTGTTGTGTCTGCATGCGTCGGTCACCATGATAGTTGTGGTGGTTGTGCTGGTGTTAGTCCAGCCGTTGCCGCGGCATGGGCTGCTGCGGCCGCCGCTGCGTTTGCCGTATTCGGTGGTGATTCACTGGCCGCCAATTCGGCAAGACGTTGTAGGTGCTCCAGCTGTTCGAGCAGCTGCATCTGTTGCGTTGTCGTCTGGACATGTGGTGGTGTGTGAAACGCCGCACCCATTGGCAAATAGTCACAGTCATCGACTTCGATGGTGTTCGAGCGAAAGCGTTCAAAGAAGCCACCCCTGCCGCCGCCGTCGTCGCCGCCACCTAAACGCATTGGCTGACCGACAGCTGTCATGCTGTTCGGTCCAAAATAAGAGCGCCAATTTCGTGGTAAGCTACTGTTACTTTTTTTTGGGTTGGTTGGAATAGTATTACGATTGCAAATATTTAAGGGGGTGTGGTGGAGGGGCGGACCAGATAATTCATTTTGTGTGTAAACGTGTGAGTGTGTGTGTGTGTGTGTGGGAGGTGTTGTGTATTTTTAAACATTTTCCAACAGAGATAAATTGAGAAGAACCGGGAGAGAATTGTTTTGCATTGTTGGAGAAAGTTTAAGAAAAAGTTGTGGTTATTTTCCAAGTGTTTGTGTAGTGAGAGAGAGAGAGTAAGTTGTATGTGTGAGAGAGTGTTGGTGTTATTGCACACGCAAGGCAAGTACATGCAAAGTAAGTAAGTGGTGGGTGAGTGGCAAGCCAAAACGAAGGAGCAGAGTTGTTGTTATTTGATTGTGAAAATATATTTTGTATAGAAGTTTAGTGAAAGAGAGATAGACAGAGAGAAGGATACAAAGAAGCCAAATGATAAGAAAACGTAATAACACGAAAAATCATAATGAAGAGTAATGATGTCCGTGAGTTGTGTGAACCAAGAGGGAGAGAGAGAGAGATAGAAATGGAGTGATGGGAAAAGGGATAATTTTGTTGGGGATATTTGGAATCATGAGAGTAGGGAGCCATGAATTGAGGGAGTAGTTGGTGAGAGAGTAGAATGTTATGAAAAAAGACATAGTGATGGTTTTCGTTGTTGTTGTGATTGTCGTTCGTAGGCATTTTTTTTGAGAAGCAATTCAAACACAAAATTAAGCGCAGGCGTCATTGAGTCGTTCGTGGTTGTTGTAGTTATTTTGTTGGTGGGTGGGTGGTTGGTTGGTGGTGGTAGTTGAGGTCGTGGTTGAGTAAGGAGTTGAAATCATAGTTGAGCATGTTTTTGGTTGTTGTTTTTTTATCAGTTGATTGTAACAAAAACGTAACACAAAGACAGGAACGAAAAAAGAACAAAGATATAGTAAACATAAAGAAAGTTGGCATGTAGTTGGCTTGTTTTATTTTGTATTTGTTGTTGGTTATTTTTTGTAAATTTTTGATTCGTTTTTCGTTAATTTGCCAGATTTTGTTTTCGAGGTTTTGATTTTGTTTGGTCATACTTTTGGTTTGCTATTGCCAGATTTTTGGGTAGGATATGTTTGAATTTTTTTGTCATATATATTTAATTGTCAGGAGTAGGGAGCGGGGTGAGATGCATATTTTATTCTTATGTTTTAAAATTTTCCCTTGCAAAAAAATGTCCTAATTTTTCGTATTTCACAAAGCATTCAAAAAAGCAGTTTTTTCAAAAAATTTCCATTTTGTTTTTATCATAAAAAAGCTTTGATTTCAAGTTCATAATATCATTTTGTGTAAAAGCTTTAAGTTTTACTTCATATACCAATAACAAAAGTGAAAAAAGCTTTATTTGAGAGATAGATAGACACACACACGAGAAAAACCGCGCATTCTTAGTTCTTCGAACTGTCACTACTCACCTGAGTCCACGTGACCCTCTTAACCTTTCCGATTGTGTTGAAAACGAACTCGAGGTCACACTAACCAATGACTCAATATCCGAATCACCAAAATCGCCCATATAATCTTTGTCGGGCGATAGCGAATGTCGTGGTCGCATTCGCGTCTCCATTGAGTGTAGATCACTGTCCGAGAGCCCCGTATAGTGTCGCTCCCAGCCACCACCACCAGTACTACGATATAGTGGTTGATGATGCGGTTGACGTGTGCGATGTCGACCAAAACGACCGTTACCCGAAGATAAACGTTCGTCAAATTCTTGACCCAAACGATCACGTATCATGGCGCTGCGTGATGTTTGGGGGACCTGGAAGGGGGAAAAAGAGATTTTTTATAGTTATGGCGAACAGGAAAATGTGGGGATATATAAAAATTGATAGGAGGTCGACTGCAGACGTTCTGCAGATCTTCGACAGACAAAACTGAAGGCCTCGGGTCGAAGGAAGCACTTGTGGAGGTCAAACACTTCAGGGTTTCTTCTATACACCGGAAACTTTCTGGAGGTCGTCCGCAGGTCCATAGGCAAAAGTCATTCGAAATTTTTATATAAGCAGAATACCCTCTACAGGTTTTCTATAGACGTAAGATATATTAGAGGTCTTCTAGAGATCGAAGATCTGTTAGCGATATTCTATAGAAGGGGGACATTGAATATATGGAAGTACCAGTGGAGGTCTTCAATAGAACAAAACCTCTCAAAGGAAAAATTCTGAAAGTCGTTCGCAGATCTATCGACAGATAGCTTTCGGGAAGTTTTCTATAAGCAGAAAACCCTCTAGAGATTTTCTATAGACAGAGGTTGCTTGGTCTTGAGGTTTTCGCGAGATGGATCATTAGCCAAGAAGATCCTCTGAAAGAGATATTGAGTAGATGGAAGGACCTGTGGAGGACTTCAATAGAATGAAAAACTTCAGGAGGTTTTCTAAAAAAATGAGACTATCTGAAGGGCGTCTGCATGTCGTTTGGAAGAAATCCTTTAGGAGGTTTTCTTTAAGCAGGACCTTAAGATATCTGACGTTTTTTATATGCAGCCGACCGATTATAGTTATTCTAAAGACAGACGAACTTCTGGATTTTTTTATAGACAGAAGGAATTCTGGAGATTCTAGAGGACTTCTATAGAAAAAATGTTTATAGACTGGAGGTCTTCTATAGACTAAAGATATAGTAGAGGTTTTCTATAGGAATTATATATTCTAGAGACAGAGGGAATCTGCGGGTACTTTATGGAGAGGAGATCAAGTGTTGGTTGGTATAGGAAGAAGAGATTCTAAAGGTCTTGTATAGATAGAAGAGCTTTTGGAGATAAGAGGTATTATAGACTGAATAACTTCTGGAGATCTTCTTTGAACTGAATACCTTCTAGAGGTCTTCTAAAGGAATAAGAAAATCTTGTATAGGCAGAATCTCTTATAGACAAAAGATCTTTTGAAGACCCTCTATGTAGCTTCTGGAGGTCTTATATGGACTGCATACCTTCTAGAGGTCTACTAAATGAATAATAAGATCTGATGTAGATAGAGGAATTTCCGAGAATCTCACAGAAAGAATACCTCTGAAGACCCTCTATAGGCATAATGCCATATCTAAAAAGAAAATCTTTGATGGACTGAAGGACTTCTAGAGGTATTCTATAGGAAGAAGAAGCCTTCTGAGGGACTCTTATAGACAGAAGACCTTCTTTAGACCCTCTACATACATTCTGGAGGTCTTATATGGACTGCATACATTCTAGAGGTCTTCTATAGGAATAATAAGATCTTGTATAGACAGAGGACTTTCTGAGGGTCTCATAGAATAAAGATTTTCTGAGGGTCTTCAATGCATAAGACCCTATACACAGAAAAGTGTTCTATGTAGACAAGATATTCTGAAGGACTTCTATAGAAAGTGCATCTTCTAGATGGTCTATTGAGGGTTTGTAAGTACTCTATAGAAAAAAGAGCTTCGTAAGGACTTATTCTGTTGGAATCTTCTGAATATCTTCTAAGCTCAGAAGACCCTCTGAATGCCTTCTGAGAGACTGCCTACATATGACAATCTTCTTTATACCTTAATTTATATATCTCAAATAAATCTTATATACCTCCTTTATCCATTTAATAAAATAAAGACCTTCGTCAGGACTTCCTCTGTAGGCAAACTACCTTCATAGGATCTTCTAAATATTCCTCTGGATATTCTCTTCTTACATGGGTCTTACCACAGACATTTTTAAATAAATCTGACCTCTCCAATAGCTTCCACACCACCTACTCCATCTATCCAGTTCCTAAAAAAATAATTTCAATTATCTCCAAATACCTACCTTTGGCAGTTGTCTCTTTTTCGGTGAACCCGTTGGTGTGGCAGTCGCCGAGCGCGATTGGAAGCGTTGTTGCTGTGATGCCGAGCCAACGACACCACTATCGTACGGCGCAACAATCGATGATGATGTGACACCACTATATGGTGGTATACTACCTATATCGTGTCCCCGATATTCTGGTGGTGACAGGGAACCACGACGTGGACTTGTACTGCGATAATAACCGCTGTGATAGACATCACCGGGTGCCGCCGAATGGCTACGCTGGCTAAGACTCATGCCACCAGGACCGGTCGTTGGGGCACCATTACGACGAAAATAGCCACTGGGAGCACCGGGGGCCTACATTTTATGAAACAAAAAAAGGTTTTTAGTTAATTTAGAATTTTTTTAAATGAAAAGGGAGATTTTGTTATTCGTTTTGTTTTTTTAGATTTGAAAAATAAAAGTTTTCAAAATATATGTAAATATTTTGAAAAATTTAAAAAGAAAATAGTATATTTTTAGTTAGTATTCAAAAAAATAATAAAATATTGTTATAAACCAAAAACTCCCTTTAGAGAATCCTTAAATAAAAATTTGCATAGATTTCTTTTTTTTCAGTTCATTAACTACATTTCAAAGAAAATTGAAAATACATGAATGGAAGTAACTTCACACTGAGAAAGAGAATGTAAAAATAACAGAAACATGGAAAACTTGAAGAAAATATTGCTGTTGTTGTTGTTTTTGGCATAGCAAGGACAATAGCTTTTCATACAGCTGTTTGTTTGGTCTATGGGAGTGAAGTAGTGAAAATGAAACTTTAAAATTATTTGAAATTAAATAAAATATTGTTAGTGGAAAAATAGTTAGGAAAAAGTGTAGCAAAAATATGGAATTTCCATTGTAGTGGAAAATAAAAGGTATGTACATATGTATATGTTCTTATAATAAAATGTTTAAAAGGGTGTTTCAAAGTTTAGCAATTTGTAAACTAAATTTAGAATGGACTTATCAAAATGTTCGTTTGTTTTTGGAATTTGCTTCTAACTGAAAAAGACTGTGAGAGATAAATTTAAGTTTCCTTTAAATAAAAGTTCTAAGTATCTTCTATCCTCGGAAAGTCTTCTAAATATCCTATGTAGATTGTAGATCTACTAAAGGTATATCCTATAAAATACCTTTAGTAGATTGTTCCAGACGATTTGCACGAAATTTTGCATAGCGTAATGAATTAGCTCTAGAGTGATGTGTGTTAAGTTTCCTGAAAATCGGTCCAGATTTAGATATAGCCTCCATACATATTTTCGTCCGATATATATTTGATTTTCATAATTTTGTCCCTGGTCCTTTAAAATTCGACGTCTTTAAGGTTTCATCTGTTGGATATGCCGAAAGTGGTGAAGGGTATCATATAGTCAACCCCGTCCGACTGTACTACTTTCCTTGTTGGTTTAAATATACGTTGATGGATTGCCTATGGATTAAAGATCTACTCTGTACAGAACCTCTTTTAAGACCTTATCTCTTTTAAGCCTTATAGGGTTTGCATAGGTAGAAGACTTGCTGGAGTTGGTCTGTAGACAGAATATCTATTGCAGACCTTCAGAAGGTAGTGCCAAGGCTTTCAAGAAGTCTTCTATATATATAGAAGCCATGCAGATATTCTATAATCATATGACTTTCATGTGTATGGAAGACCTACTAAAGGGTTTTTTTATAATTGGCAGACCTACATAAGTGCCACGGCGAGCTTTTGGAGTTCTTCTATAAGAAAAGGAGATTCAGGATGTTTTTATAGACCTATTGCTAGTCTCGTATAGATAAAAGTGTCTCTTCAAGAGGACTTATAGAAACAAAAGATTCTTCTACTATTTCCACAGAGATATTCTATAGACATAAGAACTGGCTGTATTCTATAAACATAGGACCTTATACAGATCGTCAGTAGACCGATGGTCTTCTGAAGATTTTTCATAGACAGGAGACCTGTTTACCTTGTGCAGATTTTAAACCGAAGACGTTCTGAGGGTTTTCTTTAAAAATAATCTCTTCTGAAGATTTTATATACAAAAAAATATCTTCGACTGGCCTGTAAGCAAACGAACTTCGGAAGGTTTTCTAATGCTATATGACCCTTTAGATGTCCTACTATAAATTGGGTCTTATTATAATACCCTTCACCACACTGTGGTACAGGGTATTATGTCTTTGTGTATATGTTTGTAATAGACAAAAGGAAACGAATTAGACACATGGTTCCTTTTGAGAATATCCATAGAATCATGAGTGGTAATGATGAGTGGTAATTTTCGGGAAAACCGGATCCTGGGCGATGTTACCACTGCTAACATGCCCGTCAACTTCGATCATTTCTCCGATTTTATCGACATTATCTGCCGCAACAAACATGTCCCATCCTAATACATAATACCTTCCAAGAGATAATTAAAAGATACGCATATTAAAGAAAATGTTAACAATGCCCTTCAACGGAATGTTTAAAGATAGAAGGCCATTCAAAATGTATTCTATGGCTCTTCCATAACTGGATGACATTTCAAGAGTTGTTCTATAGGAGGATTGTAAATGTATTCTTCACATTTACACTAAATCCAAGGAAATATATATGGGAGCTATATCTAAATCTGTACCGATTTTCACGAAACTTAGCAGTTCAGTTAAAATCGAACGAAAATATATATGGGAGCTATATTTAAATCTGAACCGATTATCACGAAACTTGGCAGACACCATTCTAGGCTCAATTCAGTACCTTATGCCAAATTTCTTGCAAATCGTAAGATATATAGGTAGTTTGGTGCACTATTTACATGAAATCGGACGAAACTATATATGGGAGCTATATCTAAATCTGAACCGATTTTCATGAAATTTTGCAGACATCATTCTAGACTCAATTCAGTACGTTTGGCCATATTTCGTGCAAATCGAAAGATATATAGGGACTTTGGTGCACCATTTACATGAAATCATTCTAGGCTCGTTTCGTGCAAATCAAAAGATATATAGGGACTTTAATGCACCATTAACCGAAATCGGACGAAACTATATATGGGAGCTATATCTAAATCTGGACCGATTTTAACGAAACTTGGCAGACATCAATCTAGGCTTAATTCAATACGTTATGTCAAATTTCGTGCCAATCGAAATATATATAGGGACTTTGGTGCACCGTTTACATTAAATCGGACGATAATATATATGGGAGCTATATCTAAATCTGAACCGATTTTCACGAAATTTTGTAGACATCATTCTAGGCTCAATTTAGTACGTTATGCCAAATTTCGTTCAAATCGAAATATATATAGGGTCTTTGGTGCACCATTTACATGAAATCGGGAGATACTATATATGGGAGCTATATCTAAATCTGAACCGATTTTTCCCAATGTTCATCCTTGGGCCAGACGGACGGACATGCATAAATCGACTCAGAAAGCGATTCTATGCATATTCTCAAAAGGAACTATGGGTCTATCTCGTTTCCATTTGCCTGTTGCAAACATATGCACAAAGACATAATACCCTGTACCACAGTCTGGTGGAGGGTATAAAAAATATTTTTAGTTTTAGTTAAAAAAAAAATAAACTTAAAATAAATGAAAAGTCAAAACAATTAATGGCATGTCAAACCTGATTGTGATAACTTTGTCCAATTCCCGAAACGGTACGATAATCACGAGCTACCATGCCGGCCACTCTTTTGCGACCTTGCGGTGACATATCACGTCTAGAACGACGTTCTTGCAGATCAAGCTGATGTGGGGAGGGGGCAATTTTGTGAGCACGCAGGTATGAAATTTCAGAAATATAATTTTGGATTGGAAATTATTGCAGCAAGAATAGGATCGGATTGTAGTGAAGCAAGGTGGGGTTAGGGTGGACAAATGACAAATTTTGCATAACATAGAGGAATTGCAGGACAAGTGGACAATTGTTGTAAATATATAGTTTTTTTTATAAAAATATTTAAATAAAGTTTTTTAAAAACATATAGAAGATATAAGAAAAGATAAAAATAGAATAAAAAAAGAAATTTTGGGGGAATATTTAGTGATAAATATATAAGAAGGGCAAACAAGAGAAAGAGTAAAAATTGTGTGTGTCAAGTTGTTCCTGAGTTGCTTAAGGGTATTGTACTGTGATTTGTGTAAGGACTTAAAATTGTATTGTTCTTATACCATAGTGTTGAAAAGCTACATTTATGCAAGCTTAAAGCTTTAGAAATTAAAATCAAATTTGCGCATATTTTAAATTAATGTTAAGGATGAAATTATTTCTACAGTACACATATAATTAATAAAATATTTATATATATGCAAACATGCAAAAGTGCTCGAATAATATTTGTATAGAGAAATGTCATAGTTTGTAGATTTTTTTTTTGTTTTTTGATACAGAAAAAAAGTTTCATTACAAATGTGTTCTCCTCGTTGTACGTTCGTTGTTCATATATGTATGTATAATATTTTTTTATGTTACAATAATATATTTTTTGTAAAATACTTTTATTGTACAAAACTTATAGTAAATATATATTTTTTTTATCGAGAAATGTATGTTCAGTATATTTATTTTTTCACAATTAACCTATCAAGTAGTTGTTTCTTTGTTGTTGTTCTTTTTTTCTTTATTTTGTTAAAGAGTTGTGGTTTTGAGAGAAACAAAATTTTACACAACATTGATCGTTAGGAATAAAAACCAACCAAATACATTTTTTATTTAACATAAAAACAAAATTTTAAGAAAAATTCCAATCTAATTAGAGAAAAATGATTTAACATGTAAACGAAATGTTTTTTTTTTTTTGATAATTTTTTTTGATAATTTTTTTTTTTTTGATAATTTTCATGATTTTTTATAAAATTCTGGTGAAATGATCTCAATACAAACAATGAAACAGGCTTAGAAAACATCATGAACGGGACATATCATTTACGAATAATGACAAAATATGATACGAAAAAAAAATCATGGATGCCAGTGACTATAATGTGCGACATTTTTTATGACTTACGAACTTGGTTTCTATCTGTACAAAAATTCTGAGATTTGCGTTAAAAGCGGATTTGCATATAATATTTGATCATGGTTGAAAGTCGAATCAGGTTTTTTATTTTCTTAATCATACTGAATTTACCATGATTTTTTCATAAAAACTCATTTAAATCAACTTGCGGTACATTTCTGAGATGATCATATAAAATTACACTCGAAGATGGTGGTTCGAACTATGTATAATAGGTCAGAAACTTATTCAAAAAATTCTTCTCAAAATAGGTTTTATACATATTAAATTCTGAGAATATTCCACTAAATATACTTAACACTTTGTGTAGTGGATGTCTCGAATAATATAGAAAAAAAAAACAGTGAGCGGAGCAGACGGGGCGGGACCGACCATATGATACCCTACACAACTTCCACGAAACTATCTTTCTGTGATATTTGCACCCTCTTGACCGACTAGAGGTCCACAAATATTACAAATATTCAGTAGAGTCCTTCTAATCACTTGTCCAGATTCCCTTCACCGTGGGTTGTGTTGTGATGTTCGGCTTTCAATTTTGGCCTATTGGTCGACTCGAAAAAAAAAAAACACCAAAAATAAGTTTTCGGTCCACTTCATCCCAAAATTATTATCTGATCATCACCAAAAATTATAGGCGTTGTCGGTGACCATAACTTGAACCTCATAGAAAATTTCAAAGCGATCAGCGCTATATTTATTTATATTTATGTGTAAGTCCCGCATCCTAGTACATACGTATCCTAGTATCAATATAAAGGTCAAACACTCCTCTTGAACATACTATCAACTTCTCGGATCTAGGACCTTCAGGTGCAAATATATACCCCATAGAATACAAATTTTATAATTTTTCACACAAAAGTCAGGGTCCATTTGACCCGCTAAGTTTTGACCGATGTTTATCAAAACAGGCATACTTATACTTTGACCCGATCTCCTTCTCCGTGCAAAAAATCGCTGTGTTGGGTAATAATTGTGGCCTCTGGAGCGACCAGAAAAACCGACAAAAATTAAATATTTGGTCCATTTCAACCCCTAAATATTAACCGATCTTTACCAAAAACAATAGGGGTCTCCATTGGCCAGGACCCATCCTACATGCAAAATTTCGTGAAGATTGGTCCATAACTGTGGCCTGTATCGTGTTTACAAATTATAATAGACAGACGGACGGACACGCATGTCTAGATCGACTCAGCTAGTCGAGATATGACGATCGGTATACTTAAAGGTGGATCTAGAACCAATATTTCGCGGCGTTACAAACTTTTGGGGCTGCTCAAATCTATAATACTCTGACAACATAGTTGTGTAGTGTACATATAAAAAGTAAACACACACAAACAACGAAAGAATGTGTGTATGGCAGAAAGTGTGTGGATCTTTAATCGCTCAGAATAAACGTTGGCAGAAAGTTAGAGTTCCGTGGTAGTTGTGTAGGGTATCGTATGGTCGACCCCGTCCGACTATACTGCTCCGCTCACTGGTTTCAATTTCAAAGTGTGTATTTATTAGAGTGTCAAAATGATGTACATATAATGTCCCTACAACATCACCGATATTTAGTTTGTTTTGGGTTACAATTGGGCAATCTAGTTACTGAACTAGGTCCTTCTGTTAGTTTCATAGTTTTCGTTTAGTTCAATCGTTCATTGTTGCTACACGTAATTTCATTCAGTCAATGAACCATTTGAATGTAAACAATTAGTGCTAAAAGCGACTAGATGAACGGAAGAATTTGACCTAGTACCGATCGTTCTTTTTGCAGAATAGATCCATCGAAATTAGGGATAGGTACGTCGACTTTCGACTAATGGATTATTCGACATTCTTTATTGAAAAATCCATAGATACTCCATTTTGCGAAGCCTACTATTCGACAAACTGTTAAAGGGTTTGGACGTATTTTTCCGCCGAATTGGCTGTAATTTAGTATTTTGAGTTGCTAATAGGTTCCAAATCTCTCCACAAAAAAAAAATTATGAATATAGGTCCATTTTTTCGGGTAGCCCCCATATAAGGGTACCCCCCAATTTTCGGTATTTTGGGGTTCTTGAGCGCGTTTTTCAGCCGAATTCGCTGAAATTTAGTACATTGGGTTCTTATTGGGTACCAAATGTCTCCACAAAAAATTATAAGTATAGGCCAACTTTTTCTGTTATATATATGATGGCGGGCATGATAATTCCTCACTGGAACATCGGAATCCGAAAATTCCAATGGTGTTAGAAAGAGTACATGTCTAGCTCTCGTATGAACTAGGATTATTTACTTCGCTCTAAAATTAACAAAATGGCGGACCTTTGAAAAAATATTTTTGGAAAATCGCCGATTTTTGACAAAAAACCAAGTTAAAAAATAAGGAAGATCTTCCCCGATTGGCTTTATCCTAGTTGATAAGATAGCTGTACACTCACAGAGAAACGTGTAAAAATTTAAAATCGATTGGGTTATTAGTTTTTGAGTTATCGTGCCCGCCATTTGCAAAAGAGAAAAACGCATTTAAAGTTTGAGAAGCCCTTCAGCCGCCACTTGATGTTGACACAATAAATCGGCTATATCTTCAAGACTTTTTGAGATTTTCACTTGAAATGTTGTAGGGACATTCTTGAATTAGAGTAGATTCGAATTAAATCATAAAAATTTTTGACCCCGAGAATGGGGGGGGGTCCCCTTAAAATAGTTTTGAGTTTGGTTCTAAGACTCTGTTGTAATCATTTCACCTGTGGAGGATAGCGAGATAAAAAATTAAAACGAAATGTTCGATAATGAACTATAGCCGCATTTAGACCTAGCCCCTGTGTGGAGGTTCCAGAGAGAATGGACCGATATTCCCCATCTTCGAATTTGAACTAAGTTTGGAAGAAATAATAAGATGATCAATGTTTGGATGAAATCTTAGTTTTCTGAAACAAATTTGTGTCCAAAGAAACATGGTATGTAGAACCAATATTACGATGAGGCACATTTTCACCGTGTTAAATTATATATATCCTCATTAGCCATAAGGCTAAGGCTATCCATTAAAAATTCCTGAAATTTGTATTATGGTTTACATAATCCGTTTTTAGAAATGTCGGTATGGGTCCACTTTTTGGTATGACCCCTATATTTTCATTTCTATTACCTGTTAGTATATCTATGATGGAGGGTATCCAAAGTTCGGCCCGGCCGAACTTAACGCTTTTTCACTTGTTATGTTTTTATTTTGAGACACTACCTTGTTATTTCATTGTGGGGAAAATACAGAAGACGGCTTTCGATTATGGAGAAATCAGAAAGTCTAATTTTCATGATCGTACATTTCGATTTTCATTTAAATTTTGAAAGCTGAATACTGTCAAAGGCAATTTAATGAAAAAATTGGAAACATATGATTGCATGAGACATCTGTTTAAATGATTTTTATGATGAAATTGAAAATGGAGATGTCAATTGAATTATATGAAAATGGAAAGAAAACAAAATTTTTAATAAAATATAACACACAGACACACGCACACATTTAGAAGTTCTAGAAAAAAGATTGATATATGCACAAAGCCTTAATATTTTGAAGAGCGGGTTTTTCTTTTCAAGTTTTTTCTTTTTAACAGAATTCAAAAAATTTCATACAAACAAATTTGTAAAAACTAAACAAGTAATTGTTAATAAATAGTAGTATTGGTCCTAAATGGGTTAATTGTTGGTATTATTATTATTATTTGGTGAGAAGTGTGTTAATTACTAATACTTTGAGACGTAGGCTATGTTGAGACATATTTTTTGTACATTTATATTTTTGAGAAAGAGAGAGAGAGAGTTCAACATTTGTTGTTTGTTCTTTATACAAAAGAGAACACTTTTCTACTACAAACAGAGAAAGAGAGTGGAAAAAGATGGTGTGTTAGAGAAATATACAGATAGCTGGTTTGGAGACTTCAAACAACAATTACTCGCGTATCAGAGTATTTTAAAGTATTTTTTTTTTACAACGAAAAGAGAAGGACAGCGAGAGCAAAAATGTTACACACAGGGTGGTACAAAATATTAGACAGACAGAGTTGTTATTTTTTATATTTAAAAAGGAGGATCGTAGTAGTTAGAGTTTTTGTTAGGTAGTACTAGTAGTAGTTGTTGTTTTTTCATGGTTTTTGGAACTTGTTTGTGAGGTAGTAGTTAGTTTTTGGGTTAGTTTCTGTTTTTTGTTTTCTTTCTTTTTTATAAATTTCATTTGTTGGTTACCTCAGGTGGTGGTGTACTTGCTGAACTACCCATCGATGAAATGCTGGCACCATCTCGCTGTGACTGTAAATCTATTTCAGACATTGTATCCGAATCGCTGTGACGCGATGTTGTACTGGGTGGTGACAAATGATCACTGGGTGTCAATATCACTATGTCCACATCACGGGATGAATCATAACTGCGTAACTATAGATTGAGATTTGAGATTTTGGGTTGTTGTTTTTGTGGGAAAATTTGAAATATGAATAAAAAAGAAAAAACATTAAATGAAACAAAGCGATGTGAGGGGAATAGAAAAAAAAACAAAATTATGAGATGTTAATTTTTGTTATTTTGGTGGAGGGGAGGTTTCATAATATATTTTATATAATGTGTGTGAAATGATAAACTATTTTGAAATGTGTGTTTTTTTAGGAAAAATAAAAAATATGTTAATTTAATGAGAATTTAGTTCATAAGAATTAATTTTAAATATTTTTATTCTTTACATAAACGAAATTTAAATTTTCTTTTTTCGTAAAATTTATTTCCCTTCAAAACCAACTCATTAAAAAAAAGGTGTGTTTAAATTCTTCAAATACAGTCGAAAAGGGTTATAATAAACAGGGTGACCCAAAATATGTTTTTGAGGGCAATACAAAATACTTAACAAAATCAAATCGCCTTCTGAGTATCAATTTTCATTATAACCATATTCCACTAGATTTTTTCCTTTATATTTTATGAAAAAAAAAATTAAAAATTTGCCTCAGTGGCATTTCTTAAGCATTTTTTGTTGAATACCACAACGGAAAAATGAAATAATTTATTACTACTTTTTTTTAATGACAACGGCTCCCTAAGGACCCATAACAAAATTCCTAATCCCTGTGTTATTTTGTTGTTGTTATTGTAATCACTTAACATTTACATTCTGGTTTGTTTTTCTTTTCATATTTTCTTAACAATTACGTTCGCTAAAACATTTATTTTCACAAAGTATCCAAAAAAAAAAAAAAAACAGTAGGTTTTCCGAACTCAAAAATAAATATCAAACCCAAAACAAAAAGAAAAATTACAAATAAAAAAAAATATTTATGTCGTTTGTGAACATACGAGATATGAGGTATCCTGGTGTGGTTGTAATTTATACCAATCCGCTTCATCATCCAATGAATGATGGGCCAAATCAATAACCACTTCGCCAATAAAGTCATTAGCACCGTAACGCACGTAATCCCATAGAGTGACCTATACAATTTTGTTGTTGTTGCGGCGAGTTTTTTTAAAGCAAAAAAAAAAAAAGTTTCGAAATTTTAATAAAGTTCTGGCTAGCCTTTAGCAGATTGTTTCGTTGTTGGTGTTATATGGCTTAAACATTACCTCTAAATATCTGCCGGCTAAATCGCAACGCCTCAAACCACTGTAAATAAATGTTTGACCCCAACGCGGTTCACAGGTACTGGCTAATGTTTTCGTGCGTCTTTTGGATTTTGTACCACGATCGGGTAAAAGGAACACCTGTAAGGAAAAGAGAGAGAGATAGGGAGATAAAAGGAAAGAACGATAAGAATTTTTTTTCACAATGGTCCTCAGCAGACCTGACGACTTTTTTTTATGTAAAAAAGGAGATTCTCAAATAATCTGACGCAGATTTTCTGTTCAGAAACAAAAATTGTAAAATAGTGTTCTCTTCAGGGGAGCCTGCAGTTGTTTTTTTTTATAAAGCATAATGTGATTCTATGGGATCCTGACTTTTTTCCATAGAAAAATTTATGAGTAGGGGGCCTGCTATTTTTATACCCTACACAACTATGTTGTCAGGGTATTATAGCTTTGTGCAGCCCCAAAAGTTTGTAACGCCGCGAAATATTGGTCCTAGACCCACCTTTAAGTATACCGATCGTCATATCTCGACTAGCTGAGTCGATCAAGACATGTGTGTCCGTCCGTCCGTCCGTCCGTCCGTCTGTCCATTATAATTTGTAAACACGATACAGGCCACAGTTATGGACCAATCTTCACGAAATTTTGTATGTAGGATGGGTTCTCGCCAATGAAGACCCCTATTGTTTTTGGGAAAGATCGGTTAATATTTAGGGGATGAAATGGACCAAATACTAAATTTTTGTCGGTTTTTCTGGTCGCTCCAGAGGCCGCAATAATGGCCCGAACATCGTGAAATTTTGCATGGAGAAGGGGATCGGGCCAAAGAATAAGCATGCCTGTTTTGATAAAGATTGGTCAATATTTAGCGGGTCAAATGGACCCTGACTTTTGTGTGAAAAATGACAAAATTTGTATTCTATAGCGTATATATTTACCCCTGAATGACATCGATCCGATAAGTTGATATTATATCAAAGAGGAGTGGTTGACCTTTAAATTAATACCAATTATATTGTTGTATGTGCTCGGATGTGGGAGTTACACCTAAATATTTACTGGTATCTCCGTATCCGTATATTATTTAGTAACCCATTATCACTCTAGAGCGCGGAACTATAGCGCTGATCACTTTGAAATGTTCCATAAGGTTCCAGTTATGGTCAAGGACAAGGCCTATAATTTTCGCTGATGATCAGATAATATTTTTGGAATGAAGTGGACCGAAAACTTAATTTTTTGTGTTATTTTCGAGTCGATATATAGACCACAAATGAAAGCCGAACATCACAACACAACTCACGGTGAAGGGAATCTGGACAATAACTGTACTGAATACTCGTAATATTCGGAAAATATGTCAGTGTGAGGAAGAGGTGCTGTTTACCTCTAATTGGCCAAGAGGATGCCAATATCACGAAATATTGCCCAGGCTCGGAATAAAAATCCGCAGAACTATATATAAACTACCGCAGTTCCGTGGTAGTTGTGTAGGGTATCGTATGGTCGGCCCCGTCCGACTATACTGCTCCGCTCACTGGTTTTTTTCATAAAAATGACGAACTGACGATTATTATTATTATTTTTATAGAAGGGCCTACGCGTTTCGTACAATATTGTTCTCTTCAGGGGACCTGAAAATGTTTTTTTTTCTTATAAAAATGGGTTCTCAGGGGTCCTGACAATATTTCCATAGAAAAAGTGATGAGTATAGGGTATGGGTTTAGAAAAAGGGTCGACTTTTTTAAACTTTTCCTCAGGAGACACGACGATTTTTTTTGTTATAGAAGTCCTCAGCTGGGCCTAAGTATTTCCTTCTATATGAAAATAGGTTCTAATAGAATCTGTGAAAAAGGGTTATTCCCACAGATTTTTTCCGGTATATAAAAAAGATATCCTGAAAAAATGAGATACGATTTCATTCTATAGAAGAAAGAGGGTATCAGAAGATCTGGCGAACATTTTTTTTATAAAAAAAAACAGTTCTCATCATTACATCTGGCGAATTATTTTCTGTAAAAAAATTTAATCTTGAGGATTTTTATTCTATAGAAAAAAGTCCTTCCCAGACATGACAATTTTTTATAAAAAAAATCTAGGAGAATCTGACTGATTTTTTATAGAAAAAAATCGTCTCGACATGACCTTTTTCTATGAAAAATATAATTCTCAGAAGACTTGACTTCTAAGACCTGACAATTTGTTTCCTATAGAAAAAATAAATTCTAAAAATGCCTGACCTGATTTTTTTCTATAAAAAAGATAATCTTCAGGGGACCTGCCCTAATTTTGCTCTAAAGAAACAAGATAATCATTCGAAGATATATTTCAAAAAAAAAAAAACAAAATATCTTCAGGGGACCTGACGACGGTAATCCGTAGGGAACCTGACAACGTTTTTTTCCAGGGACCAGACAATGGGAACCACCGTTTTGTCATTCCTATACAAAAAAGGGGACCCTTTTTGTTTTATAGGAAAAGTGGAGATCCTCAGGAGATTTTTTTTTTGGAAAAAAAAAGAATGTCTAAACTGATCATCAGAAGACGAATCGTAGACGTAATCCTAAGGGGACATGAGGATTACCTGACGAAGATAATCAGGAGACTTGATGACGATATTTTTCTATAGGACAAAAAGGCAATACCCTACAGACTTACCGTCGATTTTTTCTATAGTAATCGGTAATTCTCAGGGGCCTGATTTTTTCTGTAGGAAAAGTAGTTCGCAGGAGACCTGATGATTTGGTTTTTATATAAAAAGGCGATCTTTAGGGAGCATGACTGTGAAAAAGGGTAATCCTCAAGGGATCTTTTTTATAAAAAAAGTGTCTGTAAACCTGACAAATTCAGAAGTCCTGACAATTTTTTTCTATAGAAAAAATAATAAAAATATAATCCTTAGAGGATCTGACGAATTTTTTTCTATAGAAAAAAAGCAATCCACAGGGGACCTTACGACGTTTTTTTTCTATAGAAAAAAGATACATCTCAGGGACCTGATGAATACGAATGAATACAAAAATAATCCTCAGAGGACTTGACGAAAAAGGCAATCCTCAGGGGACCTTACGACGATTTTTTTCTATAGAAAAAATGCAATCCTCAGGGGATCTTACGGCGATTGTTTTCTATGGAAAAAAGGGAATCATAAGGGTACCTTACGGCGATTATTTTCTATGGAAAAAAGGGAATCCTAAGGGGACCTGACGACGATTTTTTCTATAGGAAGAATGGCAACCCTAAGGGACCTTAAGACGATTTTTTCTGTAGAAAAAAGGCAATCCTCTGGGGACCTTACGACGATTTTTTTTCTATAGGAAGAAAGGCAACCCTCTGGGGACCTTTCGTCGATTTTTTTCTATAGAAAAAAGGTAATCCTTATGGGACCTGACAACTTTTTTTCTGTAGATAAAGTACTTTCATAAGGATGTGGTAATTTTTTTTGTAGATAAAGTAATTTTCAGGGGATCTGGCGATTTTATCTATAGAAAAGAAATCATCAGGAAACTTTCGGTGTCATTTTTACGACGATTTTTTTACAGGAAAAAGTGATAATCAGAGATTTGTTTTATTGGACAATAAGATGATGCTCTATAGAAAAAATGCGAACTTGTGGGGACCTGACGATGAGGACCATCTTTCGTTAATTCTATACAAAAAAGGCGATCCTCGGGAGACCTGACAATTTTTTGTTCTATAGAAAACTGGAGATCCTTTTGGGATCTCATAATGTTTTTTCTTTAGAAAAGTCGATCCTAAGGATAGAAAGGGAACGATTAAGGTGAACTGACGATTTTTTGTTCAGGGATTAGATAATAGTTTTTCTTTAGGAAAAATTGCAATCTTCAGGGGACAATTTTTTTCTACAGAGAAAATTTGATCCTATAAGGACCTAAAAATTAAATACACATAATCTTAATCTTAAGGTGACCTGATGATTTTTTGTTCTATAGACAAATTGTGAACGTCAGGGGATCTGAGAAAGAGAGAAAAACAAACAAAATTTCACATTACTTACTTTTGCATAAGGATTTCTGGCTGCACCAGTTTGACGCAACGTCAAACCGCTAGCACAAACAATCGTTACAATCAACTGTAATGACGTTTGATCGTAGCCCAATTTCATCTGGAGTTCACCTTCAATGTGTGCGGGTATGGGTCCAACCATAGCTCCTGCCAGTGAGGCGTGATGCGGCGGCAGCTGCTGCTGTTGCAGATGGTGTGGTAACGTCTGCTGCTGCTGCTGTTGTTGTAAAAGGAGGAGTTGTTGCTGTTGTTGATGTGGTTGGTTGTGTGGTCCCAAACCTGAGCCATATGTATACGGCGAATGCGATGACGGTGGTGGTATTTGATGGCAATGATGGTGATGATGATGGCCCGCCGTCGTAGTTGCTGCTCCGCCTTGAATCGATGATGCTGACGTAGGTGGTGCTGTCGGTGGTCGATGCGGTGGTGCTGTGTGGGATGTGTGACTACTGCTACCGCTGCTGCAACTACTGACCGATTGATTGCTGCTAGTGCTGGCGGCACTCGACAAGTGTTTTGGTCCCAAACGTTGTTGAGCTGCTGCTGCTGCTGCCGATGTTGTTGAGCCTGTCTCGTAGCAACGTACATTCGCACTATGTCTTAGATTAAGTACGCCGCCGCCGCCACTACTACTACCGCCACTACTGTTGTTGGCATGAAAATCGGGTGATCCAGGCGAGGTTATAAGTACACTCGGCTTATCACGATGAACTTCTATATCATCAACTAAGGGTGCTGGTTGGTTTGATTGGTTGGTGATGTGGTTGTGGCAGATGGTGAGGTAATGATGTGGAGTTTGGTTGGTTTTCAACGTTGCACAATGGTGAATTTTGGCAAAAAGAAAAAAGACGAATAAAATAAAGTGGGATATTAATTTTTGTTTTGAAATTAGCTAAACTAAATACATGTGTACTAAAATAAAAATAACTACTATTTATGTATGTATTGTGTACTCTAACTGAATATTTATTATATTCAATAGGTGCCAGTATTTGAGATTTTGTTTTGAGGCATTTATATATCTCGTTCGAATATTTTTTTCTTCATCAGCTGTTGCCATTTTTTCTTTTTTTCAATAAAAAAGTGGCATAAATCTCCCCCAAAAGTCCCCCTAATTCTGAATTCTTGCTTTTTCCAGTAATTGAGTAATTATCATAGTTTCTATATATGAAATATTTTTGATTAAATATTTATATGAAATAAGTTGGATGATAACATTATTCGAATATGTGAAAAAATGTAGGAACGACTTTTATGTCATTGGGTAATGAGAATAATATTTTTATATAATGCTGGACAACATAATTGTGTAGGGTATAATTAAGAAAAATGTTTTTTACACCAGGCCGGAATCGAGGCAGAAATTTTTTCCCTGGCCGAAGGGAGAGAGTACTTTGTGGTGTCTAAAATTAACATAATATAATTTTTCATCACATATTTGGATACAGAATCCGACGTTCACTTTGGCTACAGTAGCTCGACTCTGTAGTCTTTTTCTATCACTTAAATAGAATTGAAGTCGACTGTCTGGAACAAACTCGTTCATTGGAACTATTCCAAACAAACTATCGGAATTAAGTACAGCTCCTTAGTTAGTAGACTTTCTTCAGTATATCTAGTTCCTTTTTCTGTTCTTGTTCTTTTAATTCTATATTTATACCCTACACAACTATGTTGTCAGGGTATTATAGCTTTGTGCAGCCCCTTTAAGTATACCGATCGTCATATCTCGACTAGCTGAGTCGATCTAGACATGAGTGTCTGTCCGTCTGTCCATTATATTTTGTAAACACGGTACATGCCACAGTTATGGACCAATCTTCACGAAATTTTGCATGTAGGATGGGTTCTGGCCAATGAAGACCCCTATTGTTTTTGGTAAAGATCGGTTAATATCTAGGGGATGAAATGGACCAAATACTTAATTGTTATCGTTTTTTTTCTGGTCGCTCTTGATGCCCCAATTATGACCCAAACATCGTGAATTTTTACATAGACAAGGGGATCGGGCCAAAGAATAAGCATGCCTGTATTGATATGGATAGGTCAATATTTAGCGGATCAAATTGACCCTGACTTTTGTGGCGGATAAATAGCGCTGATCGCTTTAAAATGTTCCATGAAGTTCCAGTTATGGTCACGGATAACGCCTATCCGCCTGACTATCAGATAATTATATTGTGATGAAGTGGACCGAAAACTTAATTTTCGGTCCACTTCATCTATAGGCTCCAATAGGAACAAGGAGATCACAACACAAGGGAAGGAAGTAATTAGAAGGGCTGTACTGAACATTAGTAATAATTGTCTGCCTCTAGTTGGTCCAGATGGTTCAAATATCGCGAAATATTGCCCAAGCTCAGAATATAGATCCACAGAAAGTTAGTTTTTCGTGGAAGTTGTGTAGGGTATCATATGGTCGGCCCCGTCCGACTATACTGCTCCTCTCACTGGTTTTTATTCTTTCTCGTTAATTTTTCAGTGGTGGTTTTCCCTTTTTTACCCACAAACGAATCAATGCGGAACTCTCTGAAATATGTGATAAAAAGATCGTTTAAAGGGAGAGAGAGATTCAAATGAACTAGCAAGGGGTCACAACTGTATGAAGCGAACTAGTTCCTTTCTATAAAAGGAATGAGAAATATCGATCCGTTCCGTGAACCATCTTAGGAAAAAAACGAAAACGAAAAAAACGAACAAGCGAAACTATTTATAAAAAGTTTTTTTTTTTTTTTGAAAATTTATAACTCGAATTACCAATGAACGGTTAAATTAATGAATAAAGTAATTCATTTTGATCCAGTTTTTCTCTCATTTATCGGGTTCCTTTTGATTTAATCGTTCATTTAGATCTTCCCATTCATTGCTCTAATTAGCAATGAACGATTGAACTAAATGAATGTACTAGTTCCCTTTGCGAAGCGAGAGGTTTGAGTCGTTTCGAAACGAACTAGGTCAAATGAAGTATTCAGCAAAAGGAGCGATCGGTACCTGGGGCCCGTTCTTTCGTTACTCTCGCTAATTTTGCTCCAGTCGTTAATTTTGCATCATTTTTCAGGGTTCTTTTTGTCTTGATCATATCGTTAATTTTGCGGAGCGAGAGATTTGAGTCATTTCGAAATGAACTAGTTCAAATGAAGTATTCAGCAAAAAAATTATAAAACTAAATGAATGGAACCGGAACAAAAGCCCTCGGAAAATATTCATTAATCTGTATCATATGATACTGACAACATATTTTGAACAGATATATATGAGTTCATCAGTACAGTAACGTTTTTATGTGCCCTCTTCTCTTGGCTGTACTGTAGACTGGGCCTTCTGTTGACAAACTTCTAGAACAACGATTTTAACCATTAATTTTGAATTGTTCTGCAAGCAAAAAGAACTATTGGAACTAGACCCGGTTCATTCCTTCGTCTGATTCATTTTTCTTCAATCCTTCCTTTTTTGCCTCGTTCACTTAATTAATTTTGATCCAATCGTTCATCGAGATATTCCCATTCACTGACATAATTAAAGTGATTGAAATAAAAGGATGTAAATGAAACTATAGAACCCTTTGCGAAGCGAACCGCTGCAGGAACAAAATTGCCCACAATTTTGTAATTGAACTTAATGGAACTATATAACCTTTTGCAAAGCGAACCGCTTCTGGATTAGGTTTCAATGAACAAATCAATGTTCAATTGGAATTTAAATTATCTCAAGATATTTTGATGTCAGTAATCGAATCGATTTAATTTTTTATACCCTTCACCATACTGTGGTACAGGGTATTATGTCTTTGTGCATATGTTTGTAACAGACAAAAGGAAACGAGATAGACACGTGGTTCCTTTTGAGAATATGCATAGAATCACTTTCTGAGTCAATTTATGAATGTCCGTCCGTCCGTCTGTCTGTCCATGTTAAATTGTAAACAAAGTACAGGTCGCATTTATTATCCGAATTGGATGAAATTTGGCATACGTCACTTATTTGGCCCAAGGACGAACCCTATTGAAATTGGGAAAAATCGGTTCAGATTTAGATAAAGCTCCCATATATATATTCGTCCGATTTAAGATAAATGGTGCACCAATTTCCCTAAATATCTTTCGATTTGCACGAAATTGGGCACAGCGTACTAAATTGAGCCTAGAATGATGTGTGCTAAGTTTCGTGAAAATCGGGTCAGATTTATATATAGCTCCCATATATATTTTCGTCCGATTTTAGGTAAATGGTGCACCAGAGTCCCTATATATATTTCGATTTGCACGAAATTGGGCACAGCGTACTAAATTGAGCCTAGAATGATGTGTGCTAAGTTTCGTGAAAATCGGGTCAGATTTATATATAGCTCCCATATATATTTTCGTCCGATTTAAGGTAAATGGTGCACCAAAGTCCCTAAATATCTTTCGATTTGCACGAAATTTGGTATAGCGTACTTAACAAGTCTAGAATGATGTGTGTTAAGTTTCGTGAAAATCGGTTCCGATTTAGATATAGATCCCATATATATTTTCGTCCTATTTAAGGAATATGGTGTACCAAAGTCCCTAAATAGCATTTGATTTGCACGAAATTTGGCATATCGAATTGAATAGGGTCTAGAATGGTGTATGTTAAGTTTCGTGAAAAACGATTCCAATTTAGATATAGCTCCCATATATATTTTCGTCCGATTTTAGGTAAATGGTGCACCAGAGTCCCTATATATATTTCGATTTGCACGAAATTTGGCACAGCATAATGAATTTGGTCTAGAACGATGTGTGTTAAGTTTCCTGAAAATCGGTTTAGATTTAGATATAGCTCCCATATATATTTTCGTCCGATTTAAGGAAAATGGTGTACAAAAGTCCCTAAATATATTTCGATTTCTACGAAATTTTGTACAGCGTACTGAATAAAGTCTACAATGATGTGTGTTATGTTTCGTGAAAATCGGTTAAGATTTAGATATAGCTCCTAAAGGTGCACCAGAGAACCTATATATCTTTCGTAATGAACTTAGTGTAACCAATAAGTTAAATATAAATGGTGTACCGAATTCCCCAGGTGGGTCCGATTGGCACAAAATTGTGCACAACTTATAGAAGTTATTATGAGACAACGTGTGGCAAGTTTTGTTGAAATTAGTTCAGATTTAGATATAGTTCCTATATATAGTTTCGTCAGATTTTAAGTAAAATGTGCACCAGAGACCCAATGTTATATAGTTAATATAACCTAGCATGTGGAAAGTTTTATTGAAATCGGTTCAAAATTGGATAGAGCTACCATATTTTCTTCCGATTTTAACTAAATGATGCACCAACAACTCCAAATGTGGCCGATATTCTGTGACAAGTTTCGATGAAATCGGCTTAGATTTCGGTATAGATTTTATAAATATTTTCGTCCGATTTGAAGTAAATGGTGCACCAAACTCCTCATGTTTATCAGATATGTATCCAAATAATCAACGGGTATCCGACTGATATATGCTTTAAATTGATTTACATAATTTTGTCCCATTGTAAGAAGTAACTCTATATCTGACCAAATGAAAAATTTAGTATCGGTTGCAGAATGACATGTTTATTGATCCAATTTCATTTTACTGGTCCTTCAAAAATGCGACGTCTGTTAAGATTCATCTGTTAAATATACCCAAAGTGGTGAAGGGTATCATATAGTCAGCCCCGCCCGACTCTACTACTTTCCTTACTGGTTTTTAATTACTTCAGGGTTAAACGCACATAATACATGTAGGCATTCGTAGCATTATGTTTTCTAGTGTAGCACGTATTTATGGTGATAAAGCATGGATTTCACAAACGATTCAGAAAAAAAAAATCACAAGATAGATAAAAACGATGAAATTTGAATAGCACTTTATATAAAGTGTATATAATTTAGATAAAATATTGAATTTTTTCTTTAAATGCAATTTTCAAGACATTCCCTCCGATACATAACCCGTTTGCCATTCTTAACCCCCATACTCTTTTAAACACACACATACACACATTATCATTATTATATCACACACAGACACATATATTTAAATACCTTTTCGTTGAACATAACGGCCGCCGCTGCTGACCACAGCACTACCGGCTATGTAACTAGCCAGGGTACTGCTTGGTACTTTACGTATTGACGGCGTAACCGTTGACGAGACCGTCGTTGCATTAATCGAATTTGGCACTGAATTGGAGGACAGATTGCCGCCGATGGCCGAGGCGGCCGCTGTTGTTGACGCTGACGATGTGGAAGCATTAATGGGCCGTGAGACCACCAATTCAACTTGGGCATCCAAACGGCTTTCATCAATAATATCATAGACTTCGTCGGCGGTTTTATTTTGTAAAATATGGCCATTCCATTTGACAATTTCATCGCCTATGCCATGCGAAAGTTGCAGATGACGTCGGGGTAGCATTTATTGAATGTGGTGGGAAGGGATGAGCAAAAAAAAATAATAGAAAACATTTTTTTCGTTTAGGACTTGTGCTGTTGCTTTGCCAGTTGTTGTTTGTGTTGACATTACCTGGTTGTATATGACCCTCAGTATCGGCCACCGAGCCACGTTTAACTTTCTCCACAATGGCACCATAATTTACAGCCGCAGCAGCACCACCGCCAACACCATCTCCATTATTACCACCAGCAACGCCAACGGCTTGACTATTATTAGCATATGGTAAAGGTTGGCCACCCAGAACTTTTAAGCCTAAAATATCTTCGCCATCATAGTATTTTCTTAATATCATATGACCAATCATGCGAGCATTATCCGCCGATATTTGCCAATTCACCGGTTGCTATATATATTCGTTGTGTATTCGGTTTTGGGGCGAGGAGTGGGAGGTGCAGAAAGTATTTTTTTGAATTTTTGGTTGGTCGATGATGGGATCGAATTTTGGTTTTTGGGAAATTCGGGGGGTCATAGATGAAATTGCAAAAGTGCATATTTTTTTTTTTTGCAATTTGTTTTTTTTTTTATAAAATACATATTTGGGGAGGGGGAATATGATAAATTTTGATTATAAATATGTTGTTGACAAAGACACTTTGGTTGCTTTATTATTATTATTTTTTCTTAAAATTAAAAATAAAACCATAACATAATTTAAATCACAAAAAAATGTAGTCTTCACAGGGTTAGTAAATCCTTGCAAAATGAAAATATTAAATAAAAAAAAATATTTTTTTTATACACAAGTTGAACTTAGTTTTGGTAGAGATAGCTGGTAGATTCATTAACATTATATCTGTAATTTTTTCTCCAGTTGATGGGTATATAGAAAACAAAGCTTAATCTAGAGTAAAGTTTTTTTGTTTCCAGGCTTACACCAAGAAAGTTGTAATTGTTGTTTTTATAAATTTTATGAAATATTCAGTTAAACAAACGCACATCTTTGGCAGAGAACACATACGTAGTTGAAACTTTTTTTTATTGTTTGCAAAAGACATTAAATTGAAAAATATCAATATATGAGCCATGAATATTATGTGCAATGCAGCAGTGAAAAATTATGAAATATAAAAAAAATAAATTTTAAATAATCATGCAAAAATGGTGAATGGAATTAAATTATTTTAAATTGTTAAAAATCGGATCTCGAATTTTAAAAATGTATTTAAAATTTTCATAGACTGACTTAAAGTACAATTTTTTCGGAAACCCTTAATATTTCTCTCACTTCCCACAAGTGTCGAACAAATTTCTTAAGTGTTCGATGCGGGAACTTTTGAATGCATGCGTGGAGATAAAAAGTAACTGTGACTGAAGTGAGTTGCCTTCGAACCACAGAACAGACAACATCAATTGGCGTTGGATCGTTTCGTAATGAACAAGTTCAATTAAACTATTTTGGAAAAGGAACGATCGGTACTAGTAGTCTTGTGTCGTTCGTGAACGACCTAGTTCAATTGAACGAGTCAGTCCACTGAACGAGTGAACGACATAGTTCAGCTTTTAATATTCACTGTTGTTCTCTGAATAGACTATCTATTTATTGTGCCATACATTTGAACCAGGTGGACGACCTAGTTCCTATTTAAAAAAATGATCAAGTTCGTTCGATCACTGATTTGATCTAGATTGTCCAAGACTGTTTACTAGTTGTGGTTCTTAGGTTAATCTAGTTCCTTTTCCTGCAGTCATTCTTTTTTCCTTTCGATCACCTAGTTCCTTTTGATCCAATCTAGTTCTCCCCGTTCATTGACCGAGTTAACTGAAGTCAGTTCAATAGTTAATTTTGTACTTAGTTCCTTTTTAAATGGCTTAGTTCATTTTCCGGAGTGAGCCGAGTATGTTCTGTAAGTCTCACACCAACCGCTTCCGAACTAACTAGTTCGAACTTTATGTGCTGCGATTTAAATGGGGACACACTGCTAATTCTAGTCGCCAACGAACATTGAAGTCCTCGTGGAAAATATTGGTCGTCACTAAAATATGCGATATTTTGTCATGCTCAAGATCTACTACTAGCCCTATAAACCGTCTCGAGGGAGTAAAATGGAGGACAATATGGACAAGCTTTGGGTATAGAGACGAAAAAGGAGTGTAGATATCCTACAAGTCATTTACACTCCGAATAGTTCCAATGAACTAGTTCGAATCACAAATCTTGAATCATCGAAGACGAGTCAAATGCAACAAATGTTTTTCATTAGACAAGCACTTCGAAGCAAATGGCTGAAAGTTTCTTTGAAAAATAGGTCATGTGATGACAGTTCTGTTTAATCTGCATTGGGTGTTCAGTTGTGAGTACTTGAAGCCTTCTCAATCGAACTTACTAATCGAATCATTATACCATTTTATGTATAAAAAGTTTTTTTCGATAAGTGAAGCATTGGATACTGCGTAACAAATTTTAGGGTTTCTTATAGAGTGACCATATGGTGGCCATTAAGCCTTTAACAGAGAATAAAGTCAAGTCATAAGAATTCGTCCTATACTACTATACAAACCCTGGCTTTCTTCCTTACAAGGAACTATCGGTACTAACGCCGGTTCATTCGTTCATCGAATTCCTTTTGTCCTCGTTCACTTACATCCTTTTGATTAACCGAATTAACTGACGTATGGATGGAACTAAAAAACCCAAAGAGAACTATGGACTAAGCAATGGCTAAGTTCCTTTTGGGGAGCAAACTCCTTCCGAAGAAAGATTTCCCAACTCTAGTTCCTAACAGAGAATAGAGTTTTGTCATGAGAGGTTAATCATACCTTTGGCGAATATTGGACATTACAATACAAATTCAGACTTTCTCAGATTCATGAAAATATATAAACGAACATTGAACTAGTCAGGAGGGGTCAATTATACCTTTGGCGAACATTGGACACTACAATACAAAATCAGGCTTTCTCATATTCATTAGAGAACATTGATCACTACAATACAGATCCTGGTTATTTCAAGTTAATGAAAATACATTGGGTGCATCCTATGTTGCTAATAGAGATGTGTCGTTACGGAGCGAACTAGTTTAAAGAAACTATTCCGCAGAAAGAACTATCAGAACTAAGTTCATATAATTTTTTTTGCTCTTGTTCACCTAGTTTCAATTTTAAATTTCTTGTTATTGACCGAATTAATAGATTTGTACCAAAGAACGCTTGAACTCAATGGAACTAAGGAACCAAGCTAGGTCATGAAGTAATGACCTAGTTCCTTTTGGGGAACAAATTGCTTCAGGAACGAGACAGTTCAACTCTAGTTACTAAGAGAGAACCTTGAACAATACCATACATATTCTGGATTTTTTATGTTCATGGAAAGGGATTGAGTTCAGAAAAATTTTTGGAGGTGTGTCAATCCCGAATTAATAAGTTCAAAGGAACTATTCCACAGAAGAAACTATCAAAAGTAGATGTGGTTCTTTCGTCCATCCTTCCTTTTGCTCTCGTTTACCTAGTTCCATTTGATCTTTCCATTCGTTGACGGAATTACCAACGGAAGATCTTTGGGTTGATCTGCTTAAACGGTGAATATCACCGTCGAATGAATCATGAGCTGTACCACCTATTCTCGGACTGCGACATAGTCAGACGTATCGACTACGTTGGCTAGGTCATGTTGTGAGAATGGATGAGGATGCCCCAGCTCAGAAGGAGATGGCCACGAATTCAATGCAAAGATTGAGGGGAAGACAACATCCCGGAACATGGTCATTCAAATTGGATGAGGTGTGCACAAGACCGACGCTCCTGCAAAACATCTTTAAAATCGGCTTATGGAACAAACATTCGCTCACAAGCCAGATTGATAAGTAAGTACCAATTAACAATTGTACTAAAACGAACTAACTTAATGGCCTAGTTCAATTTCTTTGCCCAACTCTGGTTCCTAACAGAGAATTCAATGAAAAGATCAAGTGGAAGACTATATATCGGAACGTGGCCTTCAAAATGATGATGAACTGCGAACAAGACCGACGCGACTGGAAATCTTTTTATACCCTTTACCACACTGTGGTACAGGGTATTATGTCTTTGTGCATATGTTTGTAACAGGCAAAAGGGAACGAGATAGACACATGGTTCCTTTTGAGAATATGCATAGAATCACTTTCTGAGTCCATTTATGCATGTCGGTCCGTCCGTCCGTCTGTCTGTCCATGTTAAATTGTAAACAAAGTACAGGTCGCATTTATTATCCGAATTGGATGAAATTTGGCGCAGCTCACTTATTTGGCCCAAGGACGAACCCGATTGAAATTGGGAAAATCGGTTCAGATTTAGATATAGCTCCCATATATAGTTTCGTCCGATTTAAGGTAAATGGTGTACTTAAGGCCCTATATATTTTTGGATTTGCACGAAATTTGGCATAGCCTACTGAGTTAGTTCCAGAATGATGTGTGCCAATTTTCGAGAAAATCGGTTCAGATTTAGATATAGCTCCCATATATAGTTTCGTCCGATTTAAGGTAAATGGTGTACTTAAGTCCCTATATATTTTTCAATTTGCACGAGTTTTGGCACAGAGTACTGAATTAGGTCCAAAATTATGTGTGCTAAGTTTCGTGAAAATCGGTTCAGATTTAGGTATAGCTCCCATATATATTTTCGTCCGATTTAATGTAAATGGTGTACTTAAGTCCCTATTTATTTTTTAATTTGCACGAAATTTGGCACAGCGTACTGAAATAGGTCTAGAATGATGTGTGTTAAGTTTCCTGAAAATCGGTCCAGATTTAGATATAGCTCCCATATATATTTTCGTCCGATTTAATGTAAATGATCCACCAAATACCCTATATATCTTTCGATTTGTACGAAATTTGGCATAGCGTAATAGATTAGGTCTAGAATTATGTGTGTTAAGTTGCCTGAAAATCGGTCCAGATTTAGATATAGCTCCCATGTATATTTTCGTCCGATTTAATGTAAATAGTCCACCAAATTTTGGCATTGTAGGTATACATATGTACAATATACTCAAAGTGGTGAAGGGTATCATATAGTCGGCCCAGTTCGGCTTTACTACTTTCCTTACTGGTCTATGATCGGCTTATGGAACAAAAATTCTGTCACAATCCTGCTAAGTAAGTACCAATGAACAGTTGAACTAAAACGAACTAACTTAATAGCCAGAGACTAAAGTTCAGTCATAAGACGTTAGTCATTCCCTTGGCGAAAATTGGGCACTATTCGTACAATAGAAATTCCGGTTTTCTCAAGTCCATATTCAAATTTAATTTTCAGTATTTGAGCATATTTTGTAATTCTGGTTTTGCTTTAGAAGTGCCTGACTCCAATCGTATCGATGTTGAGTCTTAAATATGATTGAAAATAACTTAATTCCATTTTCCAATTGGAAATAAAAATAAAATTTAATAGAATATTTAAAATATTGTGCTGGTGCATATATTGAGGTACAGGTGCTGGACGACAAATATTTATCTAAATATGGACAGACATGCAGATATTAGCTAGAACAATAAAAGCTTACATTTACGTTTTGTAATAAATTATATATGTTTGTATATATATATATATAGTAAGTATTTCAATATAGATTTATTTGTATGTGTAGAGATATGTTGTGTTATATGTTTCACGTGGTAAGTTATACATAGTGGGAGAGAGATAGTTGGAAATAAAAACTTAGAAATCGGAAAGAAAGTATTTGGGAATTTTATGTACAAATTAAATAATTTATATAAAAAATAATGAATTTTTGTTTTATTAATTTTTTTGGTAGAAAAATAAAATTCGTAATTGTTCATAATAAAGACTTGTTTGTCATTGGAAATTATAATACAAGAAAATATATAAATGAGCCATTCTTCAGATTTGGACATTATCACAAAATAGGGTATTTTTGTTGTCGTTTTTTTTTGCTCTAGGTTATAGATTACAACAAAAAGAAAATTTTAAAAAAGAAAAAAAACACAATTCATTTCCACAAGATAGGAGGAGACAAAATCACAGTTTTCTCTGATATTCTCATTCACATTTCGCAACATTTTTTTCACATTTTTTACAATTTCGTTTTTTGTTTTTTGGTTTTTGTAGCTACCTTAGGACCATCACCACGATTCGAATCTTCACTACTGGTAAAGGTACTGCTGGTATCGATGCCCGAATCTTTTGTGGCCGAATCCTGACTACCTTGTCGCTCGTTGTCCCAGCGGGACCAGTGATTGGCATTTGTGGAAGCTGATGCTGCTGTTGTTGTATCGTTTAGCAGATTTGTGGCAGTGTTTGTAGCAGAGGAAGCAGAAGAAGACATGGAGTGTTGGGCATTGTGCAATTTAGCACTGGTCAAAATGGTGGCCGCACCCACCTCAACCGCCGTTGAGGGTAGTATTGTGGTCACCGGTGGCAAAGTGGTGCTGCCGACATGCAGTCCCGTGTCGGCGCCCGATGCCGTATTGTCAATGTCATGCGAATCAAAGCGTACCGTCTTCTTTATTCTACGCTCTGTAAAGCGTCGGGAGTCCTGAGCTTTATTCGACGACAATACAGAGCTTGGCGTAGCTGCAGATTCATCCCAATAGCTATCGACTAGACTACGATCGCGACTTAAACTACGTGTGGCCCCATCAGTTGTGCTTAAAGAAGATGTCATGGCTGTGCCGCCAACACCACTGGTTCCACTACTACTACTACCCATATAACGTTCATACAGTGATGCTGAGGATGTGGCCGATGTCTTAGCGCTTAATGGCGTATCGCCGATCACAATTTGTGGGTGTTGTTGTTGTTGTTTGTGCAAATAGCTGCTGGCGGCGCTACTACGTTGGGCCGCCGCAGCCAAGGGTGGTGCTCGCCTGGCGCTCACTCCCCCATACAGTATGTCTGAGCCGATATCTCGTATTTTACTACTGGGTCCCAAGGGACCGTAAAGCGAAGAGGCCGCCGCCGCCGCTGCTGTCGACGACCGATCGTGATTTGTGCGATTAAATGTGTTCCGTTGTTGGACGTCTAAACGTGCCGTGCGCGTTAAAGGATATTTTTCCAGTCTTTCACGATGCAATTCGTAACGATCTCGATCTGCCGACGAATACAAACGATTGCTGCTCGTCAAACGATAGTCAGGGCCATACGAACTGCTGACACTTAACAGATCGCGTTCATTGAGACTTCTTTGTTGCCGCCAGGCCAGATCATCACGCAAAGTGGCTGTAATGAGGTGGTAGGAAGAGATGTGACACAAAAATTGGTTTTTGTAGATTATCGACAAATCGTTGATTTTCTGTTAAGTTGGGGCAATTTTTCATCACAAGGATTTGGTTTTGTTTTACATTGGATGGGTTCAAGGTATCAAAGTTGCGGCATACATCCTCTCTTTCTTCTTCACAACAAAGTTGATAGGCATTTTTTGTTTTGTAAGACAAGTAATTTATGGGGATTTTTCTGGGATTATTATGGTTCCATGGGGATTTTGAGGGATTCACAAGTAGTATTTCGTTCTCATTCATTTGTATATATTTTTATACACATAATTATACATTTAACGTTTGTTGGAAATTTTATAAAAATTTAATATATTTTTTTTTTATATATTTTTATTCAAAAAATTCTTAAAATATAAATATGAAAATATTGTAGAATTCAGTAATTAATATCCAGAAGTTGATAATTTAAAAATAATTTTATTTTTAGCCTATAATTACGCAAATCTAGAAATAAAATTAAAT